TTCGAGTAAAGCCCCTGCCACGCCCTTTTTCGCCGGGGGCTTAACTAGAAGTCAATTAACGATTTAAGCATTCGAGTTAAGCCCCGACATCTGGTGGATGTAAACAAATGACGCGTGCATGTATACTCGCAAAAATTTGGCAAATAAGGATCGAGAGAGAATGTAAAATTTCAGCATTTTAAGAAATATATTTTGCTAAGATCTCTGTTGCTAATTTGCCTACAGTTTTAGTTTTATACAGACAATGACATCGTGAAATGAGGGAACTCAATAAGGATTTGTACTAACAACAGCTCATTCAGGGCGGCAATTACAGTCTTAAAAAATAAATAATATATAGCGGCACTTGCAGAACGCAAATCTTAGGCATGTTCATATGGAGGCAAGCTACTTTTCTAACCGATTTACTCGGCAACAACAAGATCTATGACTAGAATATTATGTAAACTCGTTTATAGTTTTCCGGTGACTATTTACATGCATGACATAACCGAGTCATCCTGCCAAGAACCCGTCAGAGAGAGAACAGACAGGAAGGATAGTAGTCAGTAATACCGGCAGCCGGTCACTGTTATCGAAAAAACTAAATGCTTGGCAGTCACTATAACATTGGAGTAATATAAAATGAATTTTTTAGAAGGACTTCAGCGCGCTCGACAGCAGCTCAGAAGGTTCAGCGTGCGACTGCTACGTTTTAGTTCCTCGGTTCGATCCAGCTTCGGCACTAATTTTCTCGACTTTGCGTTAGCATTTTCACTTAAAACTTGTTTTTAAATAGCGAGGGATTCTTGATATAGTAAAAGGGACCAATGGTTAGATTTTTCAATTATTTTTGTGTTGTTGAAAACATGGGACCAATGGTTAGATTTTTCAATTATTTTTGTGTTGTTGAAAACATGTTTTCAACAACACAAAAATAATTGAAAAATCTAACCATTGGTCCCTTTTACTATATCAAGAATCCCTCGCTATTCAAAGATATAAACCTGAACTTAATCATGGACTTAAAGCTTCTAAAGAACTAATCATATTTCATTAATTCGTTAATAATCAACCTAACTATTGTATCATATTTCTTCATATAAATACCGCTTTTGATATATAACCTAGCTAGTTTATCCTGATGATGACTGAAATATAGTCGAAACGTAGATAAATAAAAATGTTATCGATTTTTGGAGTTTCACTTGGTTTGTATTTTATTAAAATACTCAGTGGTTCTAAAAATTTTTGTTTTTAATTTTTTTTTAAATTTTCAATGGTTTTAGACCAACTCTCAACGGTGAAAATATGCGATTCTAGCCCGCGTGCAGGCCCAAGGGAGCAGGCTGAAGGGAATTGAACTTGACAGTGGGCCTGCAAGCAAGGCCCGGTATTTTGTACTTTCCGCGTTCGCCCACGAACGCGGCATTCTGATTGGCTGTTTGCTGTTGGATTCTATAATTAGGTCAGTGATTCATCACAAAGGCATAAACAAAGGCTCTCGATAAGCTTAAAATTCGAAAATTGATCACTTTTTTCGATTACAAATGGAACAAGAACAGACTGTTTATTGTTTACTTGAAGGAAGAGATGTTTTTGCCGTTATGCCAATGAGGATTGCTTGTCGTGAGGTGTTGGAATAGCAACATTTATTACGAATGGGGTATAAAACTATAGTAACCTTTACTTGAGTTTCATTAATTTCAAACAGACTTGATACGTTATATGTTCCTCAAGAAAATTATCTTTTGGTTGATGTTGAGATGCAGTTGCATGTAAGCCTATTCAAAATACTTTGCGATTTACAAGGCTTCGCTGAGAGAGCAAAAGAGAAGACGGTATTAAATTGCCGTTTGAAACGAAACGATCTGGACTCTGAACGCTCTCTTCTTTTGTAGAGTTCTCACCAAATGAAATAACTGAAATAAATTTCGTACTTTCCGCCGCCAACAAGAATTGCACACACGATCTGATAAGTGAGACAATTTATTTATAACAATGGCGACAGCGAAGCAACATTATAAATGCTGATGTGGTCGCACGACTTCCCTCACGATTTGAAGTTTGAGACTGGGTTTCTGTTGAAATTCGTCTTAATTTGCCTGTTCCGATTTTAGTTGAAAATGAGCACTTGTAAATTTGGCAATTACTGACTGCGTTGCTTGCTTTTTTGGAGTTTTAACACAGGCATTTACAGTCTTTACACATTGTTTCTATTTTGAATATTAAAGCAGAGAAAACCCCGCAACATTTTAATGCGAGTTTGTTTGTTAATATTTGGGTTGCTGTCATTGGTTCTTTTTTGACAATTGACGCGCGAATGGGGCGTGTTATGAAAAGGGGCGTTTTACAAAATACCGGCCCTTGCTTGCAGGCCCACTATCAGTTCCCTTGGGCCTGCACGCGGGCTAATGCAATTCTGACTAGCATTTTTATTGGACTCGTACTTGCTTATTTTTATCCATTTGGCATGAAGACCAACATATCATTCGACAGCTAAAAGCCTGATCTTTCCAAATATGAAAAAATCTCGTTCATACGCAGAGTAATTCAGATATAATAGCGCGTTGAAGTTCGATTACCTTTTTTTATACACCCTGTATATTATTTATTTTTTAAAGCCGTAATTGCCGCCCTGAATGAGCTGTTGCAAACCCTTATTGAGTTCTCTCATTTCTAGGGTATCTCATTTCACGATATCATTGTCTGTATAAATTAAACTGTAGGCAAAGCAACAGAGATCTTAGTAAAATATATTTCTTAAAATTGCTGAAATTTTACATTCTCCCTCGATCCTTATTTGCCAATATTTTTGCGAGTATACACGTGTCACTTGCTTAGATGCACCAAATGTCGGGGCTTAACTTGAATGCTTAAATCGTTAATTGACTTCGAGTTAAGCCCCCGGCGAAAAAGGGCGTGACAGGGGCTTAACTCGAAAAGGGCTTAACTCGAAGGGCTTAACCCCAAATGTCGGGGCTTAACTCGAACGTCGAATATTTTCAATGACTTTGAGTTTAGCCCCTCTTTTTTCACGGGGCTTATCTCGAACTTTCCAGGTTGTGTTTCTTTCTTCGAGTTGAGCCCTTGACGAAAATGGGTGTGATTTGGGCGTGGTCGGGGCTTAACTCGAGGGGCTTAACTCGAACATTACCTACCTCACCTGCAAGACAGGTTCGTGACTATGCTCACGGCGGAGGAAATTGTGATCTAAATGCTCATAAACACATAATTCCGTTTGATAAAGGTTGTCACATTGAAAAAGTGAACAATTAATTATACGTAAATATGAACTCACCGTCGCCATCATTCCACCACATAAAAAGAGTAGCGGAAGCTGAGACAGCATAACAAATGCTAGTCGCCAACAATAAACGAAGCCAATTATATAGCCAACAAAAAAGCCAATCAAACTACATATTATCCGTCCAAATTTGGCACCAATACCATCGCCAATTTTATTGATATCTCTAAGGTGATTAAAATGAAAGTTAGCCTACGACAGTATTGGGCTCTTGCAAGTGACGTCACAACACGTATTTTTTACTTCTGCCATTTTGGGTTGCAAAAAACATAGTGTTGATATATGTGATATTTGGAAATGTTCTGAGCCCTAACGGGAATCGAACCACGTAACCTTCTGATAACCGGACAGACGCTCTAACCATTGAGCTATATAAGGTCTCAGATTGCGAGCCAAGGTTACGTTATTTACTAGTTCTATGTGTTACATCTGTACTGCTAACTGCAAGTAGTCTCGACATGTCTTTGTTGATTTTGTAAGAATATGCTGGTCGCAGTTTCTCTTCGGCATCAATAACCACCTGTATAGAAATAATGAACAGTCATGCAATTCCTAAGAAAGAAAGAATAACATACTCTGACAGTCGACTGAGTATTTCTCCACTCGAGTGCTTATCGAACCAGCCGATCTCCTGATGGATTGCATTTCTGAACAGAGCCAACCTTATTTTGTGCACTTGTCGTTCTGCGCTATAGCCAAATAATCCGATGCCCAACCAGGAAAAGAAGAAGTTGCCTGCAGCAAGGCCGACGTACCAAATCGAAACAGTTGTCATGGAATCTTCAAGGTCTAACGGATCGCTACAGTTATTCCTTATACAAATACCATAATCGGCTATGTCCTGCGTCAATGACCCAAGCAATATGAATTGACCAGGAGTAATGCTACCATAGAGAAAACATCCTAAAACAGCAATTGCCAGAAGCATACGATCCGTTTGATCACTGAAACGAAGCTGAAAGGAAGAAAAGATAGACCTCATTTATTTATTTACTTTAACAGATTATAATATTTTATATCAACATCCTTTTATACATCTAGGTAGCATGTAATTGTATACCCCAAAAACCAAGGCACCTCAAAAGCCACAAACATTGGTTAAATTTTACATCAAAACATTGGAAAACTGTATAAATGCATGAATGGAATTAAGCTACCTAAAAATACAAGTACAATTTCGAGCGAAGGCTGTTCGTTAGGTGGTTCGTACTCTACTAACTTCCCGACAAGGGGCCTTCGCTCGAAACGTCGAAGTTTTGCTTATATTTTTCAGATAGTTGAATTTTTATCACTATACCTACGCTGGCACAGACCGTTCGTGTTTAGATCAAAACATCCAATATATTGTTATTTATTATATAGTAGAGAGTGAGATACCGAAAAATACACAGTAAGATATTTTCCATATCTTCACTAGTGAAGATATCGGTCATGTGACTTTTTCCAATTTGCTTTTGAGCGTGAAATTTCACAATTTTTTAATTGGGACTATATAATAAACAGAACATAACCGGTGGCTTGAAGATATGACTTTTATCTTCTCGTGTTAAAAACAATATTTCACTCACTCGCTGTGCTTGTTCTCTCCACACTCAGGATAGTATGGTTCCTTTTTGTAGATGACCCCCCGCCGCCCAACGGACGATATCTTAGGGCCTGGATATATACGTTATATAATAACGCTTTTGACTGGTCGTTTATGTAGTCCGAGCCCAATAACTCGGCTGAGCACGACAAAAGAATGCGGGATATTTTTGCCTCTTTTTGGCAAGCATTTCCTCGAAAATTTTCGCAAATGTGTTCTTTGTTTTAATTAACAAAATACCAGGGGTCATCGTAAGGCGTCCCATTTTCCAAAATGACTAGTTCTAAATGTAAAATAAGTAGTTCTAAAAGTTAAAATGGGCCGTTCTAAAATTGAGTTCTCCAGCTACTTTATATAAACTAGAGTTATTGACTTGTTATTGCAGTTATTGACTAGAAATACATGCATGCATGCAGAAACACCTCGCTTTGCCAGCAAAACTATACTTTATTTCCTGAACATGGAGTATTTGAAGTGGTTTTCATGGTAACACAAGCACTTTTTATAGATTTTTTGAATTGAAAACAAAACGGCGTGAAATTATCACTTTTAATCTGCAAAATTATGAATTTCCCCAATATATACGAATATATTATTAATTTCACAAATATATATTCTAATAACCGAAATTGGGTAAATGAAAAGGGTAATTTATTAAAACAATGCACTGAATACATTGTATTTTTTTATTTATATACGCAACATATAATCTTTTTATTTAATTGGAGCAAACAAATACATCAATTTTAAAAGCAAACTTGCCTTAGGTTTTACGATTTCCAGCAATCTGTTGCCTTTGATCTTTTATAGGAAGCAAAAACAAATAAACTTTTGGCTGGTCCTCCTATTAAACGATTATCCGAGTTTCGCATTGATATTTTTTTTTCTTAAATCACTCATCAGTCGACTGATTCACTCCTGCATGAAAATCGCCATACTTTTGAGATATAAAGTGGAAGGTCAACCCAGTGATGCGCCCGCGGTTATTTATGAACTTTAAACTTCTCTAATACTTCTCTAATGCTTTCCTTTTCTTGGGTGCAAAAAACCATGCGGAATTAGTACACTCGTCCCGGGCTTATTAAACGCCATACAGATATTTAAGACAAAAACAAAGAAAATCAAAGTCAAATTCTTGACCGATTTTATAAATTATCCTCGGTTAAATTATCGCATATATAATGATAGTTTCAACGAAGGGTTCATATGAGGTTAATTGTCTTATATTAACCTACCAATTCTCTAATTGGGACCACAGGCACTCCACCACCTTGATCGCTATACAAGATAGAATAATAAAAGATCAACGAAACTTAGGCAATATAATATAAACCAAATGCTATAAATCAAGTTCTATATAATCGTCCCATAGAGTGTGTATTATATAATTTCCATACCCAGCGCAAGCAGAAAGATGTTGTCTGAAAGATGTTGTCAAAGAAGGTCGCGGGTTCAAGACCCAGCCGCGGCAGACAACATCTTTCTGCTTGCGCTGGATATGGACTGATTATATAATACACACTCTAGAACATTTACATCTTAACATATTACGGAGTGTACAATTACACAACTTAACATATATATATATATATATATATTTGTTATATATAGAATTTTCTGCTTGCCCGGTTTGGTATATACACTCGTCTGAAAACAACTAAAAAACCGCTACATAGAGCGTAATATATAGTTTTTCGTTTTTACCTCAAAACAACCACAATAGTCTGTTTCATCCGTATAGGAATCCTGATGATTCCTATACGGATGAAACAGACTGTTGTGGTTGTTTTGAGGTAAAAACGAAAAACTATATATTACGCTCTATGTAGCGGTTTTTTAGTTGTTTTCAGACGAGTGTATATACCAAACCGGGCAAGCAGAAAATTCTACTTGACCGCGGATGAAAACGACTTGTTAAGTTATGACGTTAGTTGCATTTCGGAGGTTAGTCCTTCAATGCGTAAAGCCAGCTATTAGTCTGGCAATGTTGTATGTGAATGTTGTGGTTTCCCACATTTACGATTCCACTCGTGTAACGTTATATAGCGGTTTTTGAGTTGTTTTCAGACGAGTGTATACCAAACCGGGCTAGCAGAAAATTCTACTTGACCGCGGCTGGGATTCGAACCCGCGACCTTCGCATTTCATAGAGCATCGTTCTAGATCTTCTTAACAATATATTCACAGCTCATCTCATTCCCAGGTTCCCAAGTTATCGGGAATTTTGTATTTTGTGTTATGACTTCACTGGTTGTGCTAAGAATGTCAGCAAAAAGAATAAAGCCTAATATCTCAGAAGTGATTCAACGAAATTAAATGAAATTTGGTACAGTTAGTAAGTGCACCTAAGCAAACATTTAGGAACGTTTATGTGCATGGTTGTCATAGCAACGCACTAGTTACCAAGTCTCTCTCTTCTTATTTTAGTTAATATCTGCCGTAGACAATTTGAAATGAACATTCTATTTAATTTAATTCAGTAGTTTATAATCACCACAGCACATACAAAACGATAATAATAAATGAAAATCACAAGAATTCCTTCCTTTTCTGTTGGAAGCAAATAATTGGACAAATAGGACAGAGAGACTTGGTAACTAGTGCGTTGCTATGACAGCCACATAAACGTTTCAAAATGTTTGCTTATAGGTGCACTTACTAACTGTACCAAATTTCATTTAATTTCGTTGAATCACTTCTGAGATATTATAGACTTTATTCTTTTTGCTGACATTCTTAATTAAGCACAACCAGTGACGTCATAACACAAAAATACAAAATGCCCGATAACTTGGGAATGAGATGAGCTGTGAATAAATTTTTAAGGCCATTCTTCATCATTTTCAATGTACTTTTAAGCTCTCATGCAGTATTAGTTGTGTTTATATTAACGCGCGGTAAAACGAGAATGACAGTTGATGACAGTTGACAGTCACGCATTGTCACGGGGACATTTTAGGCTTTTGTTTAACAGAATGAAATGTTGATGAATGTTTCAACTATGTTTTAACTTAAAATACATGATAGTGTTGGGAAAACGTTAAAAACACCTAACCAAAGTCGCGTATGTGATGGCCAACTTTCATACTCTCTTGATCCGGGCTTTATTATATACAGTATAGAGATTCAGATTTGACTTCCACTACCGCTACCGCTACTATTAAGGGACCATCGATCAGCGAATCAGATGTGTTTGATATATTCGATTAACCAATCAGATACGTACTAAGCCAGTGCGAAGTAGTGGTAGCGATAGTGGAAGTCAAATCTCAACCTCTATACTATGACCGTGCGACTGAAAACGACATTTTTATGTGCACGATTTAGTGACGTCCATTTATGTCCATCCGACATTTGACGGTTGAATTGATTGGCCTGCCAAAGCACCGAGTAGTTATGCCAAGGTTCGCCTTAATGTAATGTATTCCTCGGTCCTTCTCTCATCCAAACCATTTTGAACTTTAATTCACGCACATATAGTATTTCGCATGTGATTAATTTAATTAATCCGCATAATGGTAGTAATCAACATATAAAGTCATAACAACCGTTATAATGTGTCATCTATAAGGACATTGTTAAGTGATTTGATTGATGAGAGTTGGCAGTCACGTTACGGGAGACATTTCAAGCTCTTGATTAGCAAACTAGAGGTTTGATGAGTGTTCCAATTACGTTTCAACTTAAATAGAATACATGATTGTGTAGGGAAAGCATTAAGTACAGTTAACCAAGGTTGCGTGATTACCAACTCTCCCGTGCACTTTCGTCCTTGTTTGATCCGCGGGCTGAAAAATACAATACTGTGACAGGTTCTTAGGCGAGCATGCCGTGCCCGAACTTTCTTCATTTTTCCCAGCAGTTACCAAATATCCATGGTTCCCTAGTTGTTCTGGTGGGAGGGGGGGGGGGCAATTTCCACCACTTCCCTTCTGCTTATACCCTTATAAGTACTGAAAAACCAGTCGATAAAGCTATAAACCAGTCGGTAAAGCTATAAACCAGTCAGTTGATAAGTCAAATTTTTAGTATGATATAATTAAGGATGTTTACCAAAGTTGTCAGGCACAGTCTGGCAATTGCAACGATGTCAGTTACATAATCAGGAATGTTCTATGACATTTGATATATTTATAATATTGCACATTAGCAAATATTGCACATTAGCATATACTGTATATTTGGGAGGTGGATATATAGTGCTAATTTTCGCGCAATCTGATCGGTTGCGCACTCCAGATGTAAGCAAATCACGAGCATTTTTTTAGTAAACGAAGCTGCGGTTCAGTCAAACACTGTCGTGAAATGTCTATACGTATTAAAAATATTATATATTGAAAACGTTATTTGTAATCATAGTGGCATGTAAAGTTATAGGGCATAAAAATTTGCATCGCAATGGAACACCTAGTCCCACATAAGAACGTCACGGACATAACTTGGGATGATGTGGTATATTATGGACCACAAAATAGGAACAAAATAATGAAAATATCAGTAAACGTGTTACATTTACCCTGGAGTCTAACGTAGGTCCGAGGCAAAGCTAGATTAGTGTTCCTTGGGACCCTCAATAATTCAGTTAAAAATTTTCCCCAGCATTTTTTGCCCCCCCCCCCCCTGCATCAATTCCTGCGGATCCTTCAAATGTTTCAACACAATTATAGTCTTTTAGTATGGCCGAACATGTATTATAATCGACAAAATCACCGATGTGAAGCCCAAAAATAGTTTTTATTAAAGTGTTTTAACACCATTTTACCATGCGCAACATACAATGCAAACGTACGCGCAGATTGTCAAAGCTTGGGTTCTTGCGATCATTTTGGTGGATAAATAAAAAAGCATCGACCTTTTAATGATACAAGAGGTGGCCGGGGGAAATGGGGCAATTGCCCCGGACCCCCAATTAAAGAGGGAAACCTGATGCGCAATGACTGCTTGTTTGGTACTGGACCTTATTCGAATGATTAAATTATGTATAGTATATACTTCCACTGCCGTCGATACAGTCGATGAACGGATGAATAGCTACAAATTATACAATGATCATGACGGCGAAGGACACGAAGTCTCAGGGAATCGTAGCCCGCGTGCAGGCCCAAGGGAAAAATAGTGGGCCTGCAAGCAAGACCCGGTATTTTGTACTTTCCGCGTTCGCCCACGAACGCAGCATTCTGATTGGCTGTTTGCTGTTGGATTCTATAATTAGATCAGTGAAAATGGAACAAGAACCGACTGTTTATTGTTTACTTGAAGGAAGAGATGTTTTTGCCGTTATGACATGCAATGGGGATTGCTTGTCGTGAAGTGTTGGAATAGCAACATTACGACTGGGGTAAACTATAGTAACTTTTACTTGAGCAGTTGATTTTCATTAATTTCAAACAGACTTGATACGTTATATGTTCCTCAAAAAAATTATCTTTTGGTTGATGTTGATCAGTTCTGTTCTTGCACTGAAGAAAACAGCGCTTTTCGCGGTGAGGATTTAGAGGCAGTTGCATGTAAGCCTATTCGAAACACCTTGCGATCTGCAAGGCTTCGCTGAGAGAGCGAAACAGAAGACGGTAATTGCCGTTTGAAACGAAACGATTTGGACTCTAAACGCTCTCTTCTTTTGTAGAGTTGTTTACCAAGTGAAATAACTGAAATAAATTTAGTACTTTCCGCCGCCAACAAGAATTGCACACACGATCTGATAAGTGAGACAATTTAATGTCGACAGCGAAGCACACATTAATGCTAATGTGGTCGCACGACTTCCCTCACGATTTGAAGTTTGAAACTGGTTTTCTGTTGAAGTTCGTCCTAATTTGCCTGTTCCGATTTTAGTTGAAAATGAGCACTTGCAAATTTGACAATTGCTGACTGCGTTGCTTGCTATTTTTTGGAGTTAAAACGCAGCCATTTACACATTGTTTCTGTTCTGAATAAGCAGAGAAATCCCCGCAACATTTTAATGCGAGTTTGTTTGTTAATATTTGGGTTGCTGTCATTGGTTGTTTTTTGACAATTGACGCGCGAATGGGGCATGTTATGAAAAGGGGCGTTTTACAAAATACCAGGTCTTGCTTGCAGGCCCACTATTCTTCCCTTAGGCCTGCACGCGGGCTAAGGAAATCATTTCTTTGAAGTCTCAATAACAAGTGTATAAGTACAAATGTCGGCACAGATGGCGGCAGCCGCGACAAGTATAAGGTGTATGGACTGGTATATGTCGCTCTGAATACGGCGATGTTTTGACATCGGCAGCGGCGGCAGTGAGTGTGCATGTG